TCATATTGTGACATTCGGTTCATACGTTGATTCCACGTATATAAAAAAATGTTTCCTTGAGATTTGTAATGCACAAAATATTCAGGTTGACGCAAGGGCGGTTAAAAATCGACAGAAATCTGTTTCTTCGAGTCTAATTTATTATTATAATGATGTAATGTATTTAGTATATAAAATATGAGAGAAAAAAAAAAGTTAAATAAATAAGAAAATTCATGTTATATCTTAAGTGTTTCAAACGAAATAAAACCCTTGTGAATAAACCTTTCATGAAAAATATATTGTAATTCTCATGATGCCCGCGTCTGTGTCACAATCTAGCTATTGTTATCCTTCTGAAGATCCAGCTAATGGTTTATCAGGGTATGATCATGACAATAAAGCAGAAGAACAATATATAGAAGAAGCTAGTCGTAATAATGAGGAGTCGGCTTATCCTGCTGAAGCATATGAAGTTTCAGACTATGGTTAGTATCAAAAGTAAGATTTTTTTCATTGATTTAATTTATAAAATGTCATCAATCTTTTATTCTTCTATAGAACATCAACTTCCCATATCTTCTTTTTATTCTTCTGAGCATGTTCTAAACAACTGTGAAAAGGGTAAAAGCCGTAGTGATCTTGATTCAAAAACAGAAAGTCCTTATGGATCACACTCGGATGATTCTAATAAATATGGTTTTGGTGTGGGCACGGGCGACGATTATTTCTCTAGCGAAAGAGTTAATTATAGTTTGAATTATCCGCATACTCCTGGTGGTGGTAATCAGCGTTCGCGAACAATTTATACCGCATGGAGTTCTGATAACCAAATCCCTGTATCCAAAGAAGAAATTGAGGACATCTTCATTGATCTTACCAATAAATTTGGTTTTCAAAAAGATAGTATGCGCAACATGTTTGACCATTTCATGTGCATATTAGATTCTCGCGCTTCTCGAATGGCCCCATCGCAGGCTTTAATGACCCTTCATGCCGATTATATTGGTGGAGAGCATGCTAATTATCGCAAGTGGTATTTTGCAACCCACATGTATTTGGATGATGCTCTCTCTGATGTAAGCGCTGGAATAACTTTCCAAGATCCAATCAATGGCAATTTTTACGAACAGTGGAATCAACGCATGAACCGAATGTCACAATATGACCGTATTCGCCAACTCGCGTTATGGCTTTTATTATGGGGTGAAGCTGCTCAGATTCGCTTTACTAGTGAATGCTTGTGCTTTATATTTAAATTGGCTGATGATTATGCAAAAAGTCCTGAATATAAAGCAAAAATACAGCCTGTTCCTGAAGGTGAATATCTTAAGAATGTCATTACTCCACTCTACAGATACATTCGTGATCAAAGTTATAAAATTATTGATGGAACTTTCATCAAGAAAGAAAAAGATCACGCAGATACAGTCGGTTATGATGACGTAAATCAATTATTTTGGAATCCTGAGAGTATTAATCGTATTATGTTACAAGATAGAAGAACCCCTCTCATGGCTTTACTTTCAAGTCAACGCTATAAAATGCTTTCTGAAGTAAATTGGAACCGTGTTTTTGAAAAAACTTATAAGGAAAGACGAACATGGCTTCACCTTGCTGTCAATTTTACGCGTATATGGATTATTCATGTTGCAACCTTTTGGTATTATACAGCTTATAATGCGCCATTCCTTTATACAGACCCCAAAAAACCGGAGCTTGCGGTTCAATTGTCAATCGTAGCTTTTGGTGGGGCAGTGTCCACCTTGATCATGATTGTTGGATGCATTTGTGAATTCTTCTTTATTCCTCTGAATACCGAGAGTATCTCAATGTTATTACGACGTCTAACTTATTTGTTTATCATTCTGGTCATTAACACTGCACCTACATACTATATTGTCATAAAAGCACGTACTACACAGTTATCCTTGGTGATTGGGATAACTCAATTGTTCATTTCATTGTTAACAACATTGGCTTTTGCCATGATTCCAAGTGCTAACTTGTTAGGTGGTCTATCAAAAAGTTCTCAAAAATATCAAGCATTCAAGACATATACTGCCAGTTATCCTGTACTCAATCGTACCGACCGTACGATATCCATTGGCCTTTGGTGTTGTGTATTTGGTTGCAAAATGATTGAGTCCTATTTTTTCTTATCACTTTCTTTTAAAGATCCACTTAAAGCAATGGCAAACAGTAGAGTTTTGGATTGTGGTGATAGACTTGCTGGTGGAATTATTTGTTCTTATATGCCAGTAATGTCCATTATTATTATGTTTTTTATGGATCTTGTACTTTTTTTCTTGGACACATACCTTTGGTATGTCATCTGGAAAACTATTTTTTCCGTGATTCGATCATTTTATCTTGGTATTTCTATTTGGACACCTTGGCAAAACATCTTTTCCATGTTACCTAAACGGATATACGCAAAGCTTTTGGCCACGTATAACATAAAGTTCAAACATAAACCAAAAGCTCTAATATCACAAGTCTGGAACGCTATAATTATTTCTATGTATAGAGAACATTTACTATCTTCTGATAATGTACAAAGATTACTGTACCAGCAGGTTTGTATTCACTAATTCTAGTATACCTAGTATGTGAAAAGCTCATTTCATATTTCATAAAAAAATTTTTTTTTCTTTTTTTTTCTTTTTAAAAAAAAAAGGATTCATTTGCTTTTATACTTAGGTTCTTTCTGATAATGGAAAACGAACTTTAAAAACACCAATGCTCTTTACATCCAATAAATCAAATCGAGAAGAATATTTTCCATCATCGAGTGAGGCCGAACGTCGTATTTTATTTTTTGCGCAAAGTTTATCAACATCAATTCCAAATCCTTTACCTGTACAAAATATGCCTACTTTCACCGTGTTAACACCTCATTACTCTGAAAAGATTCTTCTTTCACTTCGTGAAATTATTCGTGAAGAAGACCAAAACACTCGAGTAACTTTGATTGAATACCTAAAACAACTCCATCCAATTGAATGGGATAATTTTGTCAAAGACACAAAGATTTTGGCCGAAGGACATGACTTGAATGCAGTTCCAGATCAATTTAGAAATGATTATTCAAAGGAAATGAAAAATAAAAAGTTAGATGATTTACCATTTTATTCTATTGGTTTTAAGTCTTCTGCTCCTGAATTTACATTACGCACTCGTATGTGGGCTTCACTTCGTTCACAAACTTTATATCGAACAATTTCTGGGTTCATGAATTATTCAAAGGCGATTAAACTTTTATACTCTATTGAAAATCCGGAGGTTTCGACAATGTTTAATAATAATCTAGAAAAACTTGAAGAAGAGTTAAATTCTATGGCTAATCGCAAATTTAAGTTCTTAGTCTCCATGCAACAATATAATAAATTTAGTGAAGAAGAAAAAGAAAATGTGGAGTTCTTGTTACGCGTGTACCCAAACCTTCAGATCGCTTACCTTGATGAAGTTCCTTCTGAAAATGAAGAAGAATCAAAAGTATTCTCTGTGTTAATCGATGGCTATTGTGAGATTTTACCTGATGGTAAACGAAAACCAAAATACTGTATCCAACTTCCTGGTAATCCTATACTTGGAGATGGTAAATCAGATAATCAAAACCATTCTATAATCTTCTGTCGTGGTGAATATCTTCAATTGGTGGACGCGAATCAAGATAACTATCTTGAAGAATGTCTTAAAATTCGTAATATTCTTGGAGAATTTGAACAATATAATATGCCAAAGACCTCTCCATATTCACCTGCTGCTAATGATATTTCCGTGGCTATTGTTGGTGCTCGTGAATATATCTTTTCAGAAAATTATGGCATACTTGGAGATGTTGCAGCTGGTAAAGAATGGACTTTTAGTACTCTAACTCAACGCATAACAGCAAGAATAGGCGGCAGATTGCATTATGGACACCCTGATTTCTTAAATTTTATATTCATGACAACTCGTGGTGGTAAGGAAATGTTGTAATTATATTTATTGTTTATGTTGATTAATTTAATTTTTAATTAATTTTAGGTAATTCCTAATAGGTATATCCAAAGCTCAAAAAGGTTTACATCTTAATGAGGACATTTACGCTGGTATTAACGCATTTAATCGCGGTGGACGTATAAAACATGCAGAATATTATCAATGTGGTAAAGGCCGTGATCTTGGTTTTAGTTCTATTCTTAATTTTACTACTAAGATTAGTACTGGTATGGGTGAGCAAATGTTGTCACGAGAATATTATTATCTTGGAACACAACTTCCTTTAGATCGGTTTTTGACATTCTATTATGCACATCCTGGTTTTCATGTGAACAACATTTTCATAATGCTGTCGGTACAATTATTCATGTTTGGTATGATGTTCATTGGCTCAATGGCTTCAACTTTAACTTTATGCGACTTTAATCCGGATCCAACAGTTCCACTTAATCCGCCTGGATGTCATAATCTTTTCCCTGTTTTTGATTGGATTAAACGATCAATAATTTCTATCTTTATTGTATTTTTTGTGGCATTTTTACCACTGTTCCTGCAAGAATTGACAGAAAAGGGGTTTTTCCGCAGTATAATTCGTCTTGTCAAACATTTGATGTCGTTATCACCATTCTTTGAAGTTTTTAATACTCAAATTTGCGCCAGTAGTATAATGTCAAATCTTAACTTTGGTGGAGCTCGTTATATTGCTACTGGACGAAGATTTGCTACTTCTCGTATCCCATTTTCGATTTTATACTCACGGTTTGCTGGACCTAGCATTTACTTTGGAATGAGAATCTTATTAATATTACTTTTTGTCACAATGACAATGTGGTTACCGCATCTTATATATTTTTGGGTTACAGTTATAGCTTTATCTATTTCACCATTCCTTTTTAATCCACATCAATTTTCTCTTTCTGAATTTATCATTGATTACCGAGAATTCTTAAGGTGGATGTCACGTGGAAATTCCAAATCTCACACCAATTCTTGGATCGCTTACTGTCGTGTATCCAGGACAATGATTACTGGTAATAAGCGGAAACGATTAGGTCATCCTTCAGAGAAATTAGTTGATACTCCTCGACCAAATTTTGCAGTTATTTTTGTACCGGAAATCTTAACACCGTTTATATCAGCAGCACTTTGTATAATAGCCTTTATGTTTGTAAAGAGTTTCGATCCTTTAAATCCTGGTACGCCAAACAAAGGTCCCAGTGCTCTCATACGTATTTGCGCTATAGCTATTGGACCAATTATAATGAATGCAGCAGCACTTGCCGGTCTTTTCTTTGTCTCATGTTGCCTTGGACCGATTATGAACAGATGTTTTAAAAGATTTGGATCAATTATCGCAGCTATAGCACACGCCTGGGCAGTTCTTAATTTAATTGGATCTTTTGAACTTTTATGGTTTATCGAAGTTTGGAACTTAAGTCATGCTATATTAGGCATGATAGCTCTAACTGCTATTCAAAGATTTATTTGCAAATTCTTGATCGTTGTTTTTTTGACACGAGAATTTAAGCATGATGAAACAAATCGAGCTTGGTGGACAGGAAAATGGCATGGACGTGGATTTGGTGCGTCAATAATTACTCAACCTTTTCGTGAATATATTTGTAAAATCGTAGAGATGTCACTATTTGCTGCCGATTTTATATTGTGTCATATTCTATTATTTATGTTAGCACCTATATGTTTAATACCTTGGATTGATAAATGGCATTCTACTATGTTATTTTGGTTAAGACCAAGCAAGCAAATTAGAGCACCAATTTTTTCACATAAACAGAAACAACGGAGGACGCGTATTATATGGTCATATGGAATTTTATTTTTAATAATGTATATAACTTTCGTTGGGTTAATTGTTGGACCATTATTTATTGGATATAAATTAAAGTTTAAACTAAATGTACCTATATAGTTGATAAAAACATTGGTTTTTTTTATTATTTTTGCTTTATACTAAATAATTTTTATAAAGCAAGTTTTTATTAGCAAAAGCAATTTGTATTTGACAATCTTAATAATAAATAATAATACGTAGAAAAGATCACTTAAAATACTATACGTACAACTTAAAATAGTATATGCTAAACGCACATTCAGATTTAATTTATGAGCCATAAAACACTAAGAACAGCCGGCAGGTGCTACCTTTTGATCTATTTCAACACACATTAAAAGCGTATATATTTATACACGGACGTAATGATGTGTCTAAAATGTTTATTATTATTAGAGTCTATATATTTACCAACTGATTAATAAAGTATATAATTTGATACAGTAACAGAAAAATACATATTAATTTACTGTATCTGAATTAATAATAAGTGAACCATTATTATCTAATATCTAAAGTTTTATATGTACTCTATATTATGCAAGAATTCCGAAAGCAACCATGACAATTAAAAATCCGAACTTCAACATACTGTTTAAACAATTAAATGAAGCATTTGAGGTGGTAGTGGTATCAGTGGCACTATTATTTTTTGACAAGTTATTAGAGGGTTGAGTCGTGCTAGCACCAGGTGCACTAGGAGAACCAGATGCTTTGGGAGCAACAGGAGCAACGGGAGCAACAGATGCGACAGATGCACCAGATGCTTTGGCTGCAACAGGAGCGACAGATGCAACAGATGCACCAGATGCTTTGGGTGCAGCAGGAGCGACAGATGGAACAGATGCGGCAGATACACCAGTAGGCGCAGCATGGGCGGCGGGTGTAGTTATTGGGCTTTTAGGAGCGACGTTTGCAACATTTGTACTAGGTGTGGATTTTGCGACGTTTGCAACAGCCCCGGAAGGGTTAGGTGCTTGTTTAGGTGAATTCTAAAATGCAAATAAACATTAGTATATACTTAGATGACAGAGATAAGTATTTGATATAAAATTAGATTTAGAAAAAACTTACCGCCGTTGAAATTGGTGCTTGTCTAGCAAATAGGTTTATTTTCTTTTCAATACCATTTAAATCACGCCGTCTATGCCCTAAGCCATTTTTATTAATTGAAGCTTTAAATGCTTGACATTGAATTGTAGATATGGCCACACACACCACAAAGCATAAAATCAAATTAAAACGCATTTCTCAAATATTTTTTAGAATGATTAAATGAGATGTTCACTATCGATCGAAAAAAAAAAAGTAGAGAAAATACAATGTATTTATATAATAAAATTCGATACATAATAAGACAATAAAAAATTGAAATAAATAAATAATTCTCTTTAAATAACGGCAGGTACAACGTGGATGTATGCGTATAAAACGCAATAAATAATTTATTAAAGAAGCACGATACGAATCAGCTTATACTGTAATTTTGATAATTAGTACTCGAGTCAGTACTCGAGTCTGAATTCACACATTAAAAAAATTCACTTAACGTTTATAGTAAAAGAGGACTTAAAATTCTAAAACTTAAGCATTCAAAATACTTTTGTTTTGCGCAATTAATTAAAATATATATCAAAAAATATGTATCAAATTTATCAAATTTATTTATTACATATCGATAATGCATTGATCCAGTCCTGGGACCGTCCTGCTTAAGTCGCATAAAAACATGTGATCTATAGGATTTAAATTAGTATTATGTCTTGAATTGGTCTTCCGAATAAGTCCATCCATCCATCCATCCAATCAATTTAATTCTGCTTTATTAAATAAATTCGATCCAGGATCTAGGTCCTATATAAATGTGTGATAATTTCATGTGATTTAAGGATCGAGTCCTTAACGATTTTTGAAAGATATTATAAATAACTATCACTTGATTATTCTTCATAATGTTAAGCCTAGGATTGTTGACGCAAGCAAAATTTTAGTGTCATACCATTAAGGCGCTATAGAATTAATGGCATGCCACTAAGGACGGTCCTGCCTTAAGAACAATCTATTATTAATGGTTTTTCAATCCTTCTCGGACCCAAAAACGGACTTACCTTTAAACCATCTTATTGGTTTGCGAAGAGAATTACCAAATTCTTGGACGAATGTAATATTAGAATTCTGAAATTCTATTAATATTGTATCGAACATGCCGAAATCAAATCTGTCGAATTAGGGAGAATGATTGTTGTCCCGGAATAGATTTATCACCCGGGTCACCCGCATAATCTTAAAATCGGCAACCGGTTGAAAATGATTGGCTTATCTGTTATTAATTTTTTATTTAATTATTTTTTATTATTTTTTATTTTTGTTAATTATTTTTTATACGTATAATTATTTTCATTTTTTAATTATTATTACTATTTTTAAATTTCAATTTATACGTACTGTACACCGATTAATAAATTTGTCCAATAAAATGATTGAATTTAAAAAATTTAGAATGAATTAGACGAGTTATCGATGTAGAGAATGCACTAAACAATAAAATAACCAATATTTTTTTCAAAAGGCTGGTGATAGATTTTTAGCAACTCGGTTAGATGAAATTCGATATGCACACATATACATGTCGCATAAGCTCTTAAAATCCCAAAACCAAAACATAGTAAAATCGTCCCAAATCCCAAACCCCATATCCCATATCCCAATATATATAATAAAATTGGAATTTGGGATTGGGATTTTGGATTTGGGACGAATAGTTTTTGCAGCGAGCATAATGATACACACAAACATGTATACTACGTATCATATAAAGTCACTTTATATGATACGTGATATACATGTTTTAAGCTCCACTTTATTATAGTGGAACTTAAAGCAACTAATTCATCAGAACACTGCTTATATGTTAGTACGTATTTAATAAATTTGTAAATTACAACGGCATATTTTTTTTTGTGGATGTTCAAAATACTGTAATCAGCTGAATTCTGAAAGTAAAAAAACACTTGCTTAAGTTTTTTACAAAATATCTATGCTAATATCTTTGAATTTCAACTTGATGTTGAAAAGAAATAAAAACTTCATAAACAACACAAAAATCAGTTTCAAATCATTCTTGAATTTTTATGATTTGATTGGTAGGTTGGCTGATAAATTAAGAGATTATGAAAATTACTTGACCCAGTTTCAAACTTTAAAACTTAATTTCTTTTATATCTTACTAATATATTAAAGACAAATGATATTTTTTACGTATATTTGTTTATTACAAAATATTGAGTTCATTTTGCGGATAACTTTGAAGATACAATTTAGGATCAATTCAGGACCAATTCCGCAAATCCGCCGATATGCTTATCTAAATAACAGTTATAATACATCTATTACGGGTAGGGTTGTAGGCGCAAGCCAAGTTTTGGTACCATGCCACTAAAATTTGACTTATACCCGACAATCCTAATTATAGGTTATCAAGACCAACATACTCGTGAAATAGATATTTTCTTTTAACACTTATTGCGATTGTTTTACAAGAGAGAAAAAGTTTTTGTCTCTTGTTCATATTTTATCATTTATTTACCTACATATTTAATTTATTATCCACGATTAACACTGTGACAGGATACATAACGATAAAATTTTAAAATACCCTAAGAGTACAAAAATATATTTTTTCATGGCATATCGATATGTCATCATAAAAATATCATCAGAAATGTTACGGCGAACATATAGGGCCGTGAAATATAATTTATCAGGATGGACGTTATAGATGTTCGTAGATTTCTCTTACTATAGATGAATAAACATCATTGTGCTAAAACTGCGCCTATCAATTGGAAAGTCCATGTATGTCATAATTCCCGACTTATGTGAAAGAATTTTAACATTATTTATCGTTATATATACTGTATATTAGTGATTAAATTTTTACGGCTAGGCTAAGCCATTATATTTTTAATGGCTTAGCGGCTTAGCCTATGATTTATGTTATACTGAATCATAGGATTCTATATAGTACTTCATTCAAAATAAGTAGCTTTTAGATTCGGGTTTAAAATATTCCGACTGTTTTTATACTATAGAATTTTAAATAACAAATTAAATTCTTGGAAACAAAGAAGTATTCAATCGAATAGAGATTTGTTACCAAAGTTTATATATGTTATACGTTAAATTGAAATTTGTGTCAGATCAAATTTTCAAAACTGAGTTTAATTAGGGTTAGGGTAAAACCCTATGTTGGGTAGTTTATTAGTGGCATTATAATTATTTTGATCTAATGCAAATTTTTTAATTCGACGTATAACGATAACAAAGGTTTAAGTTTGGTAATAGGTATTTTTTTTAAATATCATTAGCCATTATTAGCCGGCTGATTAGACTATCAGCTAGCTAAGCGGCTAAGTAGCTGGCTAAGAGGCTAACTTAATCGGCTTGGAACTTATACATATTTAACGCATCATGGAAACTAAACTTGTACGTACATCGAGATTGACTCTGAATTTATTTCACTTAAAAAAAAAAGGTCTTAATAAGTTAGACTCGAACATGCAAGCTTTTCAAACTTTATTTCCTTTAAATATTATGTTGACTAGTAACGGTAATAATAAAAAATGCATTATATCATTACCAATAACACCGAATTCAAAATATTATGAGAACAGCTGTAAACCATAAGACATCGATAATCAAAATAGGCGATTATCTAACATTCTTTTTTAATAAGTTTAATTCTAAACTATTTACTAAAACCGGGACAGAATAACTTACATGTTGTAGAGCTGTTACCCGGGTCAATAATCACATAGGTCAAGAATGATAAAATTAAGTTGTAGTATATCAGTATACGTGCTTGAGGTTAATACATAAATTGAAATGTCTTGGATTTTGTATCAAAAAATTTCTCGTAATTTGAGTTCTTTCATTTCTACATTGGAAAAAAAACCAATTCATTAGAATTTATTCGTTTATCTAATGGACCCGTTTGACCCAGGTCAAGGCAATTTTTGACCTGGGTCAACCTGACCCGGTAACAGCTCTAACTTTTCATGAAATTTGATTAATTATAACTAGTGATGGGACCTTCGAGCTTTTGGTTAATAATAAAAAATTAATAATTTTTTAATATTTATTAATTTTATACCAGAGGATATTGATATCCACTTCCTATTTTATAATAATTCTTTGAAATTTTTACTAAATTTTAAGGTTAGGGCGCGGGTTGGGGACCAATAGAGGGTTACATATAGCAGTCCAATTTTTAATTATACAAGATTTTGGGGTGTTCTGAGCATTTTTACTTAGTATATCTAACCCCTATTTCTTAATTAGTTTTTGAGATATAGCACCCTGGATATGAATATTCCCCGGTAACATTTAAAAATATTCTAGTTACAGTATTAATATTATTAATCATTAATAATTTCAATTATTGTTAAAAATTTGGCATTACTAAAAACCGTAATGAAATCAAACTTTAAAAGTCCAAATTTCCGAAAAATTAAAATAGAGGAAACTATTCCAACACGTAGATAATTTATTTTTGAATATATTTTTTTATTTAATACTTCACTATGATCAGTTTATAAAATAAATCAATTATTTTTAAATGATAAAATAATTGAACTATTTCA